AAAACATTCAAATCGTGATAAAAGTGAGCGGGGTCGAGCCGAAGCCGCGGTGGCTCTTAAAGGTGAAACGAGTGATAAAGGAAAAACATTACACAAAGCATTTAGTTTGAAAGACGTTTCTGAATACAGCGAAAGCAAGGATAAATTGGATGAAAGTATCGAAGAGATTAAAAAGCATATTGCATTAATAGAAGAAATAATTAAGGTTAAGGATACGGAAACTAGTGAGGCGGGAAAAATTAAAAAGAAACTGAAAGAGATAGAAAGTGTAGACCCTGATTTTAAGGTTGATACTTTCTTGAGCGAATGAAAAGGTAAATTAGAGTCACGAAAAACAGTCTTGGAGACTGCTAAGAAAGACCAACAAAATACAGGAGGTGGCGATGGCAGCGGTAAACCTGATGAAGCATGATATACAACATGATGGGGCATTCTCTTGATTATTGCTCTCGTGGCCGCAGTTCTCGGAGGAATTGCTTGATTAATTAAAGCCAATAGTAGTGAAGAAGGTGAGGGAGAAAGTGAATAATTTCTCACCCCAAAAATAAAAAATAGTTGATAAGTTAAAAAAAGCCGTTGAAATAAAAAAGTGAGGGCGGGACTTAGACCGCCCTCCTTTTCTCCTCCTTCTTAAATAATAATAATGTCCTCCCCGCTTGAAATTAATAAAAAAGAAAAAATTATTGGCACGATTAGCCAAATATTAGGAGAGACTAATCAGATAGATGTTAACCTCTTCTATCAGGAAGTAGAGAAAAGTATTCAGTCAGATATTTCGACTGGAGAAATATTTAAACTGGTTTTGTTATCAGTTACCAGTTTGCTAGAAAAAGACCCGGCCTATGATAAATTAGCCAGTAGTTTTTTGCTTCGCCAGGTTTATTGAGAGACTTTTGCTGAAACCTCTCCCACCGAAAGCACTTATCGGCAACTATTCATTAATAATATTAAAATATTAGTGGAAAAAGGTGTTTTGGATAAGCGTTTACAAGAATTTGATTTGCCAGAACTAGGTAAGTCGTTAGTTCCCAAACGAGATAACTTATTTAATTATCTAGGATTGGAGACTTTAACCGGTCGTTATTTACTACGACGGGAGAATATTCTTTATGAAACCCCCCAATTTTTTTGAATGCGAATTGCGATGGGTCTAGCCATCAACGAGAAAGATAAGAACCAAAAGGCTCTTGACTTTTATAATCTTATTTCTAGTTTGCGTTTTGTTCCGAGCACCCCCACTCTTTTCCATGCCGGTTTGGTGCGGGCTCAATTAAGTTCTTGTTTTTTGACGACGGTTAACGATGACCTGAACCATATTTTTAAATCTTTGCAGGACAAGGCTAATTTACTAAAATATTCGGGTGGAGTGGCTACCGACTGGACTAATTTACGGGCTCTCGGTTCATCCATTAAGTCAATTGATAGTGAAAGCACTGGTTTAATTCCTTTTTTGAAGTTGGCAAATGATACCACCGGAGCCATTAACCGTTCTGGAAGGCGACGGGGTGCCAGCGTGGCCTATTTGGAAGTCTGACACTTGGAAATTGAGGACTTTTTAGATTTGCGGCGGAATGTGGGCGACGAAAGAAGAAGAACCCACGAATTAAACTTAGCAGTTTGAATTCCCGACCTCTTTATGAAAAGAGTGAAAGAAAAAGGAGCTTGAACTCTCTTTTCTCCCTCTGATACCCCCGACCTACATCATCTTTACGGACAAAAATTTGTGGAGAGATATATTTATTACGAGCGGGAAGCCGAGCAAGGAAATATCAGGTTAACTCAAAAAATTGCCGCAACTAGTTTATGGAGAAAAATGTTGACTCGGCTATTTGAGACCGGTTATCCCTGAATTACTTTCAAAGATAGTTGTAATCTTCGTTCCCCGCAGGACCATGTTGGAGTAGTGCATTGTTCTAATCTGTGCACCGAAATTACTCTTAATACTTCGGAAAAGGAAACGGCGGTCTGTAATTTGGGTTCAGTTAATTTGGCTCGGCACATCCGGGAAAGAGAATTAGATAATAATTTATTGCAAGAAACGATTAATATTGCGATTCGCATGTTAGACAATGTGATTGACCTCAATTATTATCCAACCAAAGAGGCTGAATATTCTAATTTTCAACACCGACCAATTGGTTTAGGAATGATGGGCTTTCAGGATGCTCTTTTTCAACTGAATATTAATTATGGTTCATCAGCGACCTTGGAGTTTACTGACCAATTAACAGAAAAGTTTTCTTATTATGCGATTTCGGCTTCCTGCCAGTTAGCCCAAGAAAGAGGATCTTATGCTAGTTATCAGGGTTCCAAGTGAGACCGGGGAATTTTTCCACTCGATACTTTAAACTTATTGGAAAAAGAACGAGGCTGACCGATAAAAGTTAATCGCCAAAGTAAATTAAATTGGGATAGTTTAAAAGAGCAGGTAAAAAAATATGGAATGCGTAATTCTAATGCGATGGCGATTGCTCCCACCGCTACGATTGCTAATATTGCCGGTTGTTATCCTTGTATTGAAGCCATGTATAGTAACATTTATGTGGAATCAAATGTGGCTGGAGAATTCACGATAGTTAATAAATATTTGGTGGAGGATTTAAAAAAACTTAACTTGTGAAACCAAGAAATACTGGACCAAATTAAATATTATGAGGGCAGTATTCAAAATATACCATCCATTCCCCAAAATTTAAAAGAAAAATACCGCGGGGTTTTTGAAATTGACCCATTATGAATGATTGAAATTTCTGCCGTGCGGAGTAAGTGAATAGACCAAAGCATTAGTAATAATGTCTTTATGAAAGGGATTTCGGGACAGAAACTTCACGAGATTTATTTTGCTGCCTGGGAAAAAGGTTTAAAAACTACTTATTATTTACGCACCTTAGGGGCTAGTCGAATTGAAAGTTCTACCTTAGATGCGGCCAAATTTGGTTTTACGCAGAAAAGAAATAATCAAGAATGTTTATTGAATAGTGATTGTGAAAGTTGTCAGTAGTTTGTGGATAAAATTATACAATTGCCAAAATTAGTTTAATGATTAATTTTACAATTCAAAAAGAAGCCGCCGACCAAACCATAATTAGTTTTCTTAAAAGAAGGTTTAAGACTACTCCGCTAAGTCTAATTTACAAATTATTTCGCACTAAAAAAGTAAAAGTGGATGGGGAAAATATTCGTTATTATCATCATCGCCTAAAAGTTGGAGAAAAAATTGAAGTTAATGATAAATATCTCCAATTGTCTAATCAGATTATTTATCCTCTTTCCCAGAACAAAATGTATTTTAAAATCATTTATGAGGACAAAAATATTTTGTTGGCTCTTAAAGAACATGGAATAACTATGCCTAGTTTAGATAATGCAGTCAGACATTATTTATCAGAAAAAAATCCAACGGAGTATCAGCGGCAAATTGAGAATTATTTTGTCTTAATTGCCGCTCACCGACTTGATAAGTTAACCAAAGGATTAGTTATTTATCCAAAGAATCCGGTAGCAAAAAAAGTGCTATACCAGGCAATTGGCGACAAAAGCAAGATAACCAAAAAATATTTAGCAATATGTGAAAAATCACCCAAAAAGGCATTACCCAATTACATTAGCGGCTATTTGTGGAAAAATAACCAAGCCCAAAAAATGGAATTTGCTCCAAAATCAACCAACCCCCAAGCCAAATTTTGTGCCTTAGAGATAAAAAAAGTTGGGGGGGAAAATATTTATCAAACTTTAGAAATCACTTTACATACGGGGAGAAAACACCAAATTCGCAGTATTTTATCCTATTTAGGCTACCCGGTCATTGGTGATGAAAAGTATGGTAGCAAAATAAAAATAGAAAATAAGATTCATTTATTAGCCTATAAAATAGAATTCAATAATTTGCCTTCGCCACTTGCTTATTTAAATGGAAAGGTTTTTGAGATAGAAGAAAAATTTGAATAGTAAAAACTATATAAAATTAGTTAAGATAACAAAGTTATAATTAAATATAATGTCAAAGTCATTAAGTAGTAATTTTTCCCATCCAGTTTATAATTGTTGTTCCCAAATACCTAAGGGTAAAGTTTCAACTTATAAGTATATTGCGGAATTTCTTCATATTTCACCACGGGAAGTTGGTCAAATTCTAAAAAATAATCCTTTTCTATCCTCTGAAGTTCCTTGTCACCGAGTCATTGCCACTAATTTTTTTATTGGCGGATATTATGGAGAATGAGGAGAAGGCGAAAAAATTGCTACTAAACGAAAACTATTGTCCGAGGAAGGGGTATTTTTTGATAAACAAGGTTATTTACAGCGAAATTTACGGAAGAAAGTTATTTTTAATGATTTTCATAATTAGTTTTTCTTTTAAGATCAATTAACTTCCTGATGGGCTTTTTATGAAAAAAATGCTAGTCAGGACTTTTACAGTTATATAAAATATATTATAGAGAAAGGAATAATGATTTTACGAGAAAAAGATATAATTAAGTATTTTTGGAATTGTTTGAATTATGATTTTGCTGGCGAACAATAAAAAGTGAAAAATATTACTAAAACATACAAAACTTATGGAAAGGAAAAGAGAACTAAGAAAAACTTCAAACTCTTACAGCAATAAAGAATCAGTTGACAAGAAAAAAATAATTCATCAGTTAATGAAGGACTTAGAGATTATTTGTGTCGAAGTTGATCCTCCTCGAGAAAATTATTTAGAAGAATTATTGCAAAGTGATTATTGTGCATTGTCTTCTCATTACGACCAAAACGACCCAATAATAAAAGAATTGCAAGAAAAAATAGATAAAATTAAAAGGCAAGAAAACACACAATTTAATCGAGAATTAGCTTTTTTTCTTTGTCGAAAATTGTTAAAGATGGAAAAAAAATAAATGGCTTTTGTTCGTTACACTGGGCACTGTCCTAGATGCAAGAAAATTGCCGAGTTAATAACAACTGTCATCCGTGCTAAGTTAAACATTGTTGAAATAAAACAAAGAGAAATAACAAAGAAGATGGTTAGGGATTTGCTTGGTGAAAAAACTCCCTTGATTAAATTTCCTGCTACTTCTCGACCAGAAGTTAACTGTAATCATTGCAACCTTAAAGAAAAAATTTGAGGTTGAACTAGCCAAATAGGAGATAAAATTATTATTTCTTTTCCTCGGCAAACTTTCTTTTTAGCAAAGGATGAATTTGTTGACACAGTAGCCCATGAGCCAACTCATTTCTTAGTTAACATAATGGAAAATAACCCTTTGCCTAAGCATGGAAAAAAATGATATTTTCAATATCGAAAGAATCGAGACCAACTTTTTGAAAAATATCAAAAGTTTATTAACTCTTCTGAAAGTTTACCTATTAAATATCATAAAAGTTATGGGTAGCCTTTATCGTTCTCGCTTCAAAAATGAATATGATAAAAGTTTCCTAAAGAAGTATAAAGGAAAGAAAAAGTTAACAAATTAAATTAGGATTGCGTTTTTATAAAAGGTTAATTAATCATCTTCACTAATATTTTGTTTCACCAAATAATAAATTACTCCGCCAAGCACGGCTATGGCCGCAATAATTCCAATTATTCCGAGTGGGGTTTTATATCAAGGTGGATTTTCTTGGGATGGATTATTCTTTTCAGATTTAACTTTTTTTGCCCTTCATTCCTGAACTTTCGTTTCCATTTTATTCACTAATTTTTCTAAGGCTTCTTTCTGAATTGTTGAGTAATTTTCTACAAGGTTATGCTTACTCCCTCCTTTAATATACTTTTTTAATTTATTTAACTTGGTTTCTAAATCCTCCAATTGAGTTTTTCAATCGTTATAATCTGATAATACCACCACCATTAATTCGGTTAGTTCCTTTTCTTCGGCGTTAGCACTGGCTCCTTTCTCGCGAATTTCCGCCGCTTTTTCGGCTAAAACCAAATAGATTTCATCATAATCTTGCTTATTATTTTTATATTCATGCTTTTTCATAAATTCCTCCTTGGCTTTCTGAAATTCGGCTTTAGTTTTGGCGTTTCTGATATCTTGATAATCCTTTTTTCGCTGGGTGGCTCACTCATTTAATTTTTTTAACATTGCCTCCGCATAACCTTCCCCGTCTTTTTTATACTTATTTACTGCTTTCCATGCCGGGCTGTTAGAGGTATCGTTTTTGAAATTATTGAGAGCATTCAGTAATTTTCCTTCATCATCGTTAGTGGCTGTCTCAACCGCTTGACACTTTTGCCAGATTTCAATGGCTTTATTAATCTGGATTTCGGAGTCTTTTATATCGGCTACTACTTCTTCATAAGCGTCTTTACCATTAATTTTTAGACCAGCCAGCAGACTTTTTAATTGTTGGTGGGCTTTTTCAAGTTGTTTTTCTTGGGGAGTTTTTAATTTTTCCCGGGCTAATTCCACGCAATCTTTACTATCATTATCGTGGTTTTTAACTTTTTTGGCAATTTCTAGTGCTTTTTTCTTGTCGGGGTCATTTTTGCTGTCGGAAATAAATTTTTCTAATTCAGTTTTCGTGTTGGCCGTTTTCGTGCCGTGGGTCTCCTCCAACAATTTCACCAACTTTTTCAGTTCGCCAAATACTTGCTCGGTAAATCCATTTTGGTCGGGTTGACAATTTTGATAAATCTTTTTCCCCAGTTCACTTCCTCTATTTTTCAGTCCGGCCAATTCCGTTTTTCAAGCAGGAATATCATCATCGGGGTTGTCATTGAGCAGAGAAAGGGTTCCCTCCACCTCTGTCAAAAAGTTGTCAATTATCGGCTTTCAAACTCCGCCCGAAGTGTAAAAGCGAGTAGTTTTCCATTTTTCCAACTTGGTTTTAGCCTCTGTTAATTGAGTTTTGTTGAGATTGGCCACATTAACAGCCAGTAATTTCTCGTAATCTGCGATAAAATCTTTCGTCAACTGATAACCCTGGTCGATTTTGACCTGAATGGCAGGGTCGTCGTATTTGGGAGCATCAGTGGCTCCCGCCCCAGTGGCATCTCCCGGAATTCGTCATTGGCAACCAGTCACACTTTTCAAGGCCTCGTAATAGTGATTTAGGTGGTCCAGGCGGGTTCAACCTTTCACCTCGTTAAATTGAAGGTTAATATTGGGGTGCTTTTCATCACCGACTTGATTAGGGTTTCCTTTTCGAACCGCATTATCACTTTGCAGTTCATCGTAATCTTTGCCGTAAAACGCTAAATCCATGGCCTCCTCGGCATTTTGGGCAGAAAGAATATCGCAAAATATTTTGGTTTCTCCATCAAAAAACCATCCACCATTGATATAAAGATAATCACCACCATTCTCATAAACATCACCGGGCTGAAAACCAAAACACTCTTCCGGCAAGCGATTAGCATAAACTTTAACATCGTTGCCGTCCAGGGGTCCTTTGATAGTTTTTTCCTTAGTAAATATGTCTTGATGCGGACCGTTATAACCAGTGGCAAAAGCCCGAAAATTATCAATATTTTCTTTGGTGTAACGAACTGGCTTATTAGGGTCGATTTTTTCTACTTGAAACTGATTAGTGGCGGGGTCCAAAGTGGCTTGTCAATTGGGGTCAAATTGTGGAAAACCCTTGTAAAATTCTGGTTCCTTTTTTAATTCTAAGAGGTCATTTATTTTATAGCCTGCCTTCTTGAGAATTGCTAACTGGGATTTTTTGGTTAAGCCAAGATCAAGAATTAACTGAAAGCAACCCATCCATGCTTCTAATCCATCATATATTTTCGCTCCATCCACATCTTTTAAGTCAAAGAGAATATGTTTAATGTTTTCTGGCTCATAGACAATAATCGGATCCGGGGGAGCATTGTTGTAGTAGTAGGCTCATAATCCCGTCGCGACCACCGGTGGATTGGCGGTTGGTTGGGGCAACTGACCGAGGTCAGCCCTCAGGTCTGGTAAGGAGAAATTAATATCTGGTCCCTCATTGCTAAGCAAGTCGTCAACTGAGCCGTATTTGTCCGGTAAGGTTCGGTTTAATAATTCTTCTAGGTTCAATAGAGCCTGTTTTTGGTCGTTCCGGTTTACGACTAATTTATTGGCAGCAGTGTAGTCGGTGTCATCAATCCGGATGATATTTTCATCAATCGTTCCGCCGACAAAATCGGTGGGTTTTAATTCCAGGGTTTTAAGACCATCATTAGGAAGGTTATCGGTGATAGTTCAGTGGTCGTTCTGATTAGTTAAGTCCTTATTAATGACCAGTTCAAAGTCAAAACTATCTTGGGCATTCGGCTTGGTGTTTTTAACCTCATCTTTTAACCAAATTAGTCTTTGAATTATTTTTAATTGGTCGGTTGGACCAGTAATTTCTACCCGATTAATAATGTTTGAAGTCTCATTATCATCAGGGTTAGCATTGACCGGAAAGCCCGTGCTAATTCCCGCGACGGTTAGGTCAATGGCACCACTCGCAGCCGGGTTATTATTTCATGCTTCTAATTGGTAATGTAATTCAATAGTCAGTCTCGCTTGACCAGCCAAGCCAGTCCCCATTAAATCAATAAGTTTTGCATCATTTTTACCGTTAGGACTTAATTTTAAGGAAGTTGTCATATTTTTTATACTTGGGTGATTAATTTCAATTGACCGTTCCTCCCTAAAACGATAGACCAGTTTTGACCGCTAATTGTTTTTTTTTTTTTTTTTTTTTGCTGATTTCTATTTCTGATTTGCATATTATGAATATAAGTTAATTTTATATTTTGAGGTTGTAATACCACTTGCTTTTTTAGCAAAAGCGGAAATGGTTTGGCATAAATAGTTAATTAGACATGGATAAAACATTAAAACTTATTAATAAAATTTAATGACGAAAAATTCCCGCAATTCTCCACCTCACCCTCAACCCTTAACCAAAAAAATCAGTTTTTGAACCATCTATAAAAAATTTAAATTTAAAGTAATTAGGCATTTTTTAATTACCACTCTTCGGGTAATTCTTTGAACTTTTTTGTTAGGAATTATTATAAATATTTTTAAAGTCAAAAGAGGAACAAATACCAATAATTACACTAATTTATTGCCTGGTAAAAAAATATGGGAATGATTAGGAATAAAGGAAGTAAGCCGGGGGCAGTTTGTTGTCGGGGGGTTATTACTGGCCCTAATCTTTACAATAATTTATTATTGAAGTGTTTTATGAGAGGAAGAATTGAGGGTGCTGGGGGGTCATCATGCCAAAAGTCTGCTTTTAGATAAATTTCGTCAATTGCCTTTTGAAGAAAAACAGGCCAAAAAAGATGAATTAAATAACTTAATCGAGAAGGATGCTTATGAAATAGGATATTCATGGGAGCATTTGCCTAATCATTTTTATCGCAGTTTTTTAGCCATTGCCTCAACCTTGATTTATCACTGGGATAATTTTGGTCAAATGTCGGCACCTACAATTTTCTTTTTCCTTTTTTGATTAGGTTTGGTTAACTTTGTGGTTTACTTGTTTACTAAAAAAATCCTCCGCAACGAGAAGAAGTATAAAAAAAGACTCGATAAAGAATGAAAGGTAATTAACAAAGAACGGGAAAAAATTATTTTGGTCGAGGGGATGGGTTTGAGTTCGCAATATCAATCACGACAAAAAAAACTAACCCAAACTAATGAAAAATTATGTCTCAAGTTTAACCGCACTAAATCATTAAACAAAGCAGTTTCCAGTATTTTTTTAGTGGAAGTTTTTCCTTTCATTTTGTTCTTCTTGTGGAGTGATAATTTTGATGGAGAAATCTTGTCGGCATCCTGGCGTATATTTGAGAATTTTGGCGATATCTTTCATTGCCTATTTGATTATGCTGATTATTCTATCTCTCGGGGGAGAGTTAATGCTTTCCTCAGGCTTCCAGAGAAAAATGATAATTTAGAGGGTAGAAAATTAAATCAAGCAGTACCAATAACTGCCATTACTTTTCAAAATGTTTATTTTCGCTATCAGGGACAATCCGAATGAGTGTTAAAAAATTATAATCGTACTTTCATCCCCGCTAAACTAAACCGCTTAATTGGCAAAAATGGGGCTGGTAAAAGCACTGTTTTATACCTCTTATTAGGAATGTTGGTGCCCCAAAAAGGTCAAATAATCATTACCGATGACCAAGGAAGTAAATATAGTCTTCACCAGGATATTAATTTGAAATATTGGCGGGAAAATAATATTGCTTACTGTGCTCATGATACTTTAATTGAAGAGGGTTCTACCGGCCAAAAACAATTAGCCAATATTAACCAGACCCTCGAGCAAAAAAAGGGGGTTCAAATCTTTTGTTTTGATGAAGCCGATAATGCGTTAGACCAGGACAACCAAGAAAAAATCCAAGAAAAAATTAAGGAATTAAGTAAAATTAAGATAGTTATTTATATTAAACATTAAAAAGAATTTGTTTGGCACAAATGGGATTAATATTATATATTAACTATTTTTTTACTTTTTCTAATTCGACTTGGACTTTTTTTTTCTGCTCTTGGTAATAAATTAATTTTTTTTTTTCTTCTTCTACCAGATGGGAAGGTGCCTTTTTCAGAAAATTACGGTTGGCTAATAATCGTTTACTTCTTTGGCATTCCTTTTCATAGAACTTAAATTGTTCTTCTAATTCTTTTTTATCAATTTTTTCGTGGTATCATAAAACTCCGAAAGGTTGTAAATCAAGAAAAGAACTAAATTTTTCTTTTTTCTCTTTTTCTAAGATAGAAACCTTGCTTTTGGTTAACGGCTCTAAATATTGATTAAAGTCAAAAGTGGTGTCTAACTTTACTTTTCATTCCGGAACTAACTCTAAATAAAATTCATTAACTTTACTTTTTTGCTGAAAATTGCGAATATTGCTTATTAAAAGTAGCAAGCAGTCAACTTGTCAAAGATTATTATTTTCAGTTTCTATATTAACTTCTTCAATTTTCTCATTCAATATTTCTTGCTGGGTGATTTCTTGATAAATATGTTCCGTAATGAAAGGAATCGCCGGATGAAGCATAATTAGTAATTGCTGATAGACAAAAAGGAGAGTATTTTTGGTGCTAGTATCCCACAGGGAAATTTTGATTAATTCTAAATATTCATTGCTTAATTTTTCCCGGGTAAATTTGATAAGTTTGTCGGTAGCAAAATTAATTTCTTTTTTTTCTAAATGTTTAAAATAGTCGCTTTGGCAAATGGCTAATTCATTTAAAATTCAACTGTTAACTAATTCTTTTCCTTTTGGCTTATCGGTCATTAATTACTTATTTTTTTATTTTTCTCCTCCTAACTACTACTACTGACACCATCAGCAACACTCCAACCAACAAAAAAGGAATCACTACCTTCCCGGGAAAAT